ACACTGTTTAAAACAGACTTTTATACTGTTTAAAACACACTTTTACACTGTTTATAACATACTTTTATACTGTTTAAAACATACTTTTACACTGTTTAAAACACACTTTTACACTGTTTAAAACAGACTTTTATACTGTTTAAAACACTTTTACACTGTTTATAACACTTTTACACTGTTTAAAACATACTTTTACACTGTTTAAAACATACTTTTACACTGTTTATAACATACTTTATACTGTTTAAAACATACTTTTACATTGTTTACAACATACTTTTACACTGTTTATAACATACTTTTATACTGTTTAAAACATACTTTTACACTGTTTAAAACACTTTTACACTGTTTAAAACAGACTTTTATACTGTTTAAAACACACTTTTACACTGTTTATAACACTTTTACACTGTTTAAAACATACTTTTACACTGTTTATAACACTTTTACACTGTTTAAAACATACTTTTATACTGTTTAAAACATACTTTTATACTGTTTAAAACATACTTTTACACTGTTTATAACATACTTTTACACTGTTTATAACATACTTTTACACTGTTTAAAACATACTTTTACATTGTTTAAAACAGCATACTTTATGTTTATGATAGGAAACATATTATTTAGCTCACATTGATTACTTAAGTACTATAGTTTTGAACAGTATCAGCTCTTGTCTCCTCGAGATAAGTTGATAATGAGAAATAAATGTTTGTGCCTTCAAGAAAGGATGTTAGGTTGATAATGAGAAATAATTGTTTGTGGCTTCAAGAAAGGATGTTATAGATGGTAGTTGTTTTTTATTCTTAGAATAAGACAGTTAATTCCATCTAGAAAGCTGGACATATAACTGTTATAACCTAAAGTAGTGAATGAGAACACTGGGATTATTTTTAATACTGTATTAATGTTTTCAATTTAGCTTAAAGTAGCTGAAGTATATATGTTTATTTCCCAGAAACAATTTATATGTACGCTTTTGGGACAAAATGTTAGTGATATCCTTACAAGCAACCTGAAAAATCTGGTTTTTGACAAGCTAGGCAAATCAGAATCTCAAGCAGAAGCTGTTGAAAGGTAAGACTTTTGTTTTCACTTTTACTGTGTGATATATGTTTTATTCGTGTAGAGGGAATATAATAAACGTTTCTTTTCATATTATTGAACATCATTGTAAAGAAACAAGAAGATTACAATAGTGTACCAGTCCATCACAACCACTTTGTCAGTCTATGTGATTTCACAAAACAAACAACAATGATTTATTGTTTTACTTGAATTGTAGTGACTTGTGATGATTTAGGGAGGCAGTGAGCTGGTCTCTAGTATGGAAAAGGTATAGAAACACTGATTTACAGGTGTAGGTATTCATAATCAATACCAGAGGAGGATGAGAAACACTGATTTACAGGTGTAGGTATTCATAGTCAACACTAGAGAAGGTTGTGAAACACTGATTTACAGGTGTAGGTATTCATAGTCAACACTAGAGAAGGTTGTGAAACACTGATTTACAGGTGTAGGTATTCATAGTCAACACTAGAGAAGGTTGTGAAACACTGATTTACAGGTGTAGTTATTCATAGTCAACACTAGAGAAGGTTGTGAAACACTGATTTACAGGTGTAGGTATTCATAATCAATACCAGAGAAGGTTGAGAAACACTGATTTACACGTGTAGTTATTCATAATCAATACCAGAGAAGGTTGAGAAACACTGATTTACAGGAGTAGTGATTCATAGTCAACACCAGAGAAGTTTGAGAAACACTGATTTACAGGTGTTGTAATTCATAGTCAACACTAGAAAGGGTTGAGAAACACTGATTTACAGGTGTAGGTATTCACAGTAAACACTAGAAAGGGTTGAGAAACACTGATTTACAGGTGTAGGTATTCATAGTCAACACTAGGAATGGTTGAGAAACACTGAGTTACAGGAGTAGTGATTCATAGTCAACATTGAGTGACTCAATTTTCCCAGTCTGCATTGTTTTTAAGGTCAAATATATAAAAATTTAATGGCTTAGTTGTTGTTTTTAGAAGTCCCATAGGAGTGGAAATTGATTTTCAACTGGTTTGGTGAGAACCCTATTTCATCGTTGAGTTTGTAAGGTTGCAAAGTTGTGATTGAGTGAATTTTAATACTTTAATTACACAATTAAGTGTATATTTGATAGATGAATCTTCAAGGTAATATTTAATTGGTCTCACTTTAACATAAATTAAATGATAAAAATGTTTTACATGTAAAATGTCACTGGTGTAAATAAAAATAAAGATTAAAATATTACTGTATATGTTTTAATTAAAAGTCTGACCATATAACTTAAATACTGATTATAATTTTAAAAAGTGAAACCAGAGTAATTTCAGAGTGTTCAGCCCAGTTCTCCGTTCTTTTTCAAGTTACCAGTTAATATGACAAATACTCATAGCTGTAGGTTTTATTTTTCAAATAACATAATGTCTTAAACTCTTAATCTATTGGAAAGTTGCAATTATAGTAGTTATTCTTTGTGTTTGCTAAAGAAAATATATTTATTTGTTGCACAATGAAAATGTAATTTTATTATATTAATGTACATTATGTAATGAGCATGATAACATTGTTCAATAATACAACATTTACTAGTTATCGCTTCACTTAGTCCTCCCCTTTTTTTTCATTAACTGCTTGTTATTTCCCCTCAATATTTTAGGTTAGGCTTACTTGTGGATGAACCTGTAGTCAAGGTAACAACACCCTTGGACACAGTAACCCATTTCCTGGCCAACAAGCTTGCTTTTAGTAAGTTAGAATTAAAAATAAAAGGCTATTCCACTTAGATTAGATCTTAACCTAGACAGAACATTCTGTTAGATTGTACAGTAAAGTTACTGGGGATGGGGGGAGTTTGGTAAACTTTTTTAACATTTCTAGACTGCTATGGTTTCTTGATGTTTTCCAGTGCCTATCAACACTTCCTGGCGATTTGAAATATTTCTGTGAGATGAGGAACATGTTCGTGTTTCTATTTTACAGGTTTTCTTTTACCAAATGTTTAGTTTCTGGGTATGAAAAGTTGATAAACATTATGTGCATATGTTTTGTTTGTGGCCTAGGTTAGGCCTTCTAAAGGATAAGCCTCTTGTCAAGGCTGGAACTCCTTTGGACACAATGACAAATTACCTGTCAACGGCTCTTACTTATAGTAAGTTGTCTTCTATCTCAAAATGTTGCACTTTTTGCCTGACTTAGAACATTAGCATTTTTGTTTGCATGTATCTGTTTCTTTCTTTATCATGATAGGAGTAGAAATAAAATATGTAGCACTGCTTGAGCTATATATGCTCTTGATTCTGGCCATTAGTCTAGTTTTAAGGAACAGCGATGTCCTATGAATATTGAAACTATATTCTTTAACTGTGAAATGTTGCTGTTGTTTTTTCAAACTTATATTACATATCCTCTGACCAACAGTGTGTGTGTGTTATTGTCACTTAACAGTATTGAAACATGAACTAAAACTGTTTTTATCTGGAGACAGCTGTACAAGTGTTTATTAAATTTTAGTTGCCTTCTGAAATGCATATAAACTTTTTTTTTTGCTTGATATGTAGACTGAAAAAGTATGTGCATTGTGTTTTATATGAGATTAAAGCAGTGGTTCCACTAAGAGCCTCACTCACCATTGTTTGTAACTTTGTAACAAAAAAAAACTAGTAGTTGTGTATGGGTAATTAACCTATCAAAACTAGTAGTTGTGTATGGGGAGTTAAACTATTAATACTAGTTGTTGTGTATGGGGAGTTAAACTATCAATACCAGTTGTTGTGTATGGGGAGTTAACCAATCAATACCAGTTGTTGTGTATGGGGAGTTAACCAATCAAACTAATAGTTGTGTATGGGAAGTTAACCTATTAATACTAGTTGTTGTGTATGGGAAGTTAACCTATTAATACTAGTTGTTGTGTATGGGGAGTTAACTATTAATACTAGTTGTTGTGTATGGGGAGTTAAACTATTAATACTAGTTGTTGTGTATGGGGAGTTAACCTATCAAAACTAGTTGTTGTGTATGGGGAGTTAACCTATTAATACTAGTTGTTGTGTATGGGGAGTTAAACTATTAATACTAGTTGTTGTGTATGGGGAGTTAAACTATTAATACTAGTTGTTGTG